TAACTTCTGCATACATTGTCCCTGAGTTCTGGGATGTTCTGAGGGGTTTGTGTGGGTGGTGCAGTGACTCTGGAACAGAAGACAGGGAATGAAAGGGCCTCTTTCTCCTGGCAACTGCTTGGGATCCTGTACACTGTACTATTTGAGGAGAAAATGGTTGAGGCACCCAAAAGGTGCTGCAGCAATTCATAGTCACCCATAGTCCTTCAACACCATCTCCATTGCAAAGTGCTGAACACAAAACAAACAAATGAAATAACCCAGTTGCTGAGAAGTCAATTCCAATTTATGGCAACCCTACTTGTTTCCGAGTAGAACTGGGATTTTCAATGGCTGTAATCTTCCTAAAGTAAGTGTGGTGGTACTAGGAGGATTTGAACTGCTAACATTTCAGTTATTAATTGGATGTAAACCATTTGCTACCTTGTTGCTAGGTGCTCATGGATGGAGTCAATTTCAACTCCTAGTGATCAAATGTAACAAAGTAAGCTGATGAGGAGCTGGTGGGTTCTACAGTTAGCCACGATCACTTAACTGTTTCACTAACAGGGTTCCTTACCCAGGAAACTAGACACCGTTATAGTATATGAGAGACTGGCACCGATGCCATGATAGGAAGAAAACCCCACTTGCTAAGCCTCATTTTCATCAGGGGGGAAGCAGTTGGCTCTTTCTTGGGTACAATGAGATGTTTTCATTACATGTAATGGAAAATCCCAAATGTTCCTTGAATGGAAAGCAGATTATTCTGTGAAGTCACTAGTTTGTAAGGCACTGGATTCATCAGGAATTTAACTTTCATTAAGTCATCCAGGATTCATCTATGAAGTTCTAAGACATGGAACAGGAGACCATAAATTCATCAAGAACTCCTAAAGGTTGTAAAATCACTTGTGTAAAATGACCACAATTAGAAACCTGAATGTTTTGCAAAGATTGATTTTTCTCCCTCTGAATGGTTGATTTTGAATCACCCACTTTGTAGCTAACAGCCCAAGGCCTAAACCTCAGTGCCACAGGGCTCCTGGAAATAGCTTATAGTAACTAGAGAATACTTTTTATTGTAGCACAAATGAATGTGCCTTGTTATTTTTTTATTACAAACTGAATATTTTTTAATGTTTAAAGGAAATGGCTTTTATTGCACGTTCTGATTACAAAAACAATGAATGCATGGCAATGTTAAAAGAAAAAAAGGTAGAGAATATAACCTAAAAATAAAGTTAAATGTCAATTTGCACTCTATTTCCCTGCCTAACACCCTCTTCACTAGCACATTTTGGTGCAGACCAATGGACTAAGGGAGGGTAGGAAGTATGGGTCTTACAGCCTATGAGTAAAAGAAAACCCAGAAAAGATAAAAGCCAAGGCCTGTAGAAAAGGAAGGGGGGGGGGTTGCTGGACGCGGCGTTCAGACCCTCCCTGGTAACCAAAGAAGCACAAACTCCATCAACAGAGTGGTGATACCACTTGTGGCCCCTGGGATTGGAGAGGAACAAGATGAGTGAAGGGCTGTGCATGCAGGACACAGCATACAGAAGGGCGGAGGGAGTGTCTGCGGGTGTTTGCATCTGGGTGGGGGTTTGGAGGGGTCCTGCAGTGCTGTCCACCCCCGGGGAGAGGGGGAGGGCGAGCTCGGAGATGACGCACGACCTTCACGTGACTAGGAGCTGCAGAACGACGCAGCCTTCGGTGCAGTCGTCACTCGCGTCTGGGTACCAGCTCCCCGCTGCCTAGCGAACGGCGGGCTGGCATCGGGCCCGGGCTGAGTGTAGCAGGTAAGATCCGGGGCACGCTCGCCTCGCCTAGCCCCAGTTGCCCACTGACCCCGGAGGTGGGTGCAAGGGTGGGAAGGGGCAATGCGACTCAAGTACAAGAAGCCTTCGCTTTTTGCTTTTGATTCTCTCTACTCCCCTGCCCCCTCCCTCCTCCCCGCCCGCCCCACATATGTGCTGGGAAACTGTGAGCTTTGACAGTGCCAATGTTGGGGGCGGTTTTTCATGAAGGATATACAGGGATTAAGATGCCCATTCTCTCTGATTCTAATCACTAACTGCACAGTTCTCCACCTCTTGTCTATTTCAATGGAAGGGACGCGCCACGGTGGCATTTGCTTAGAAAATGGTGGGCCTTAGTGACTGGACGGCGTAGATGGTGGGGGTGGTTTCTCAGAATGAGGGGAGGGATGGTTGACTAAGTTCCTGAAGCTAGAAAGGCGAGTCTTGGGATCTGTATCCTGGGTGCTGGTTCAATCACTCAGTGCCTTTACTCTTTTGTGTCTGTCGCACAACAGTTTGGTGCGGCACCATTTGTCAAGGAAGGAGAGGAGAAAACTTCCCAGGATCTGTGGAGGTTAGTATGAACTTGGAAACTGCCTGTGAAGCATTGTTTTAATATGATTCCATATGACAGGTGCCAATACAGGGTCACTATGAATGGGAACTGACCAGAAAGCACTTAACAACAACAACAATAATCTGACTGGGAAGTGGGCTGGGGCTAGCTATGGGATTGTTCTTAGACTGCATTTACTCTCTTATATATCCTGTGCTGCTACAACAGAAATAGCACAAGCGGATGGCTTAAACAAACAAATTTGTTTTCTCACAGTTTAGGAGACTAGAAGTACGAATTTGGAGCGCTAGCACTAGAGGAAGGCCTTCTCTTTTCAATGGTTCTGGAAGAAGGTCCTTGTCTATTTTCCATATCTGTGGGCCTGGAATTCCTTGGAAATCTACATGTGTCTTGGCATCAATCTTCCCATGGATCTAGGAGGTTCTCAGAGTAGAGACCCTAGGTCCAAATAATGAACTGTGCTTCTAGCTCTAATTTTTTGATGGTGGTCAGGTCCCCCTTTCTCTGCTCACTTCTCTCGTTTTTTATCACTTGTAATATTAAAGGCAATGCAGTCCACACTCCAGGGAAAATCCCCTTACATGGAATCAGGACTGTGACCTGTGTAAGGGTGTTGCATCCCATTCTAATTCTCTTATGTTAATTGACTGATCACATCAGATCACATCACAAATGATGATTACATCATTACATAACTGACAAATCACTGAGAATCATGGCCTAGTCAAGTTGACACATATTTTTGGGGGACACAATTCAGTGAATGACCCTAACCAAACAGAGATATATGTTGATGATCAATAAAGACAACAGACTTTTCTACAGATGCTTTTGTTTGTGCTTCAGATAATATTGAGATAATACCAATTATATCAAATAATACTATAATTTTTTTTTGGTATTTCTTTGCATGTGTGTGGGAGGGGAGGTAGTGATTTTGCAGAAGCAAAAGCTATCTTCTACATCTCTTCTTCTCTACAGCTGGAGACTTCTGGAGATGATGGGTTTAAGGGGAATAGATGGCAGGCAGCTCTAATTGTAGAATATGGGATTTTGATGCCTACATCTCTTTTATCATCTTTCAGTTTTTCAGATACCTCACCTACCTGACTGTCTTGATGAAGGAAATGGTGGACTTTTTGGGGAAAACCCTAGAACCCTACATATGATTTTCAAATTATTTGCCTTTTTACTTTTCCTACCTCCCATTTCCACTCTTCCCACTTCAGGACTGGGGAAGCCCCAGGTTCTGCCTGCTTGGAAAATGGGTCTCTAAATCCTGAAAGGCAGGTATGGGAACCCATGTCTCAGATGCTGGGATGTCACATACACTCAGCATCCACATTCTTCTTTTTTTCTGTCTGTTCCTAGGTGTTCCAATAGGCCGACAGTAGGTTATTTACCACTGGAAACAAAAGAAAGACTGGAAGACAGACTTGGAACAATGGAGGTTGGTGCAAAGATGGGGATGACAATAGAGGGTGAGCATAATAGGTGGCTGCTTATTTTGGTGCAATAGGACTATTGAGGTAAGGGTGAGCTTGAGTGTGACAATTTGAGAGGAAGTCCACAAAATGGGATACATTAGCAAACTGGACTTGGGCTCTGGAAAGGCAGGTTTTGGGGTCAGGGAACAGGGTACTTGTCTGTTCCACCAAGGACTCAGTCTTAATTACTACTGTTTGTTTACTGGTCCATAGATTTGCTTGTTGGTCTGCTATAGGGAGTGACACATCTGGAAGCAGAGAAACAAGAGGAAATTGTCCCTGATCTGTATAGACTGGTAAGAGGGTGAGTGTAGACCTGCTGTAGAGTGGGTTGGTGGAGGTTGACGTGCATCCAGTGAGGATCAGTGTCCAGTCTGGAAGATCCTCAGCCTCTCCCCTTCCCAGCTACCTTTCTCACCACCTAACCCAACCCCAACCATCACCTTTGTTTGGGTATAGAGAAAATAATGTGTACTTTGGGAAGTGGGGTGAAATGAGGGGGATAGAAAGGTAGTTTGCTAATAATATGTTTCTTCTCATCAGTAACATTATCTCTACTCCCATCTGTTCCTCCATTCTGTCTGTCTGTCTGTCTCTAGGTCTAAAGATCTCAAGATTTTATAGATCTGTTTTAAGGTGTATCATAGTCAAGAAAGGGAAAGAGGAGGAAACTGCCTCTGGTCATTCCAGGTTGGTATGAGAAAGGGGAACTATGGAAGTGATGACCAGAATAAATCCAGTAAAAATCAAAGTCTGGAAGCTTGTTAATCTCCCACCCAGAGCCAGATCTCCCACATTCCTACCCACTGTTCATTTGGTATAGGGAAATGTGTATAGAAACACTTTTGGGAAAAATTAGTGGGCTTTGGGGAAGATGGCGAGGGATGAAACATGAGAGATGGAGAAAATGTTTGCTAATCATTCACTTTTTCCACCAAATACATAATTTATTCTTTTTCCTGCCCATCTGTGTATCTATCTGTATGATGCAACATAATTAGAGAGAAATTTGAGTTCATTTCCTTTCTCCACTCCTAGGTCCACCTCCAGTTGCAGCTTTGAGTGACAGAAGACTTACATCGAAATTTACCATCCTCTTTCCCCAGCCTGAGTGAGCACTCTCTGTACCTTGTCCGTTCCTTCAGCAGGGGTGATTACATGGGCCGCATTCAGGAAGTGGGCTGGATGACTGCAGGACTGGTGATTTGGGCTGGTACTTGTTACTATATTTACAGATTAACTAAGGGAAGAGCCCAGAGTGTGAGGAGACCAACCAGAAATGGGTCCAAAGTCAAGATGGAGAATACAGTTGTGGTACAGAACCAGACTTTGGCCATGAGTGAAGCCATGGATGAGACAGAGATTGAGACTATACCCAAAGGCAAAATTGGAGCAGAAACTGGAGCAAGAGGTGGGATTAGGGCTGAGTTAGCTCTAGGCACTTCTATAACCAGACCTAAGGCCAGCTCCCAGGCCAAGGCAATGACTGGGGTTGAGGCCAAGGTAGAGGCAGAGCCCCAATCTGAGGCCAAAGCTGTTGCTGGAACAGTGATCAAGATAGGGACGATGACTCTGACTGGGGCCAAGGTCAAATCCGGGGAAGTTTCCAAGAAAGAGGCAATGATTCAAACAGAGGTTGAGGCTGGTAGAGTAGTAAAGAAGGAGGCAGTGACCCAGACCAAGGCTAAAGCTTGGGCACTGACTGCCAGGGCAGAAGCCAAGAAAGAAGAAATGATTCAGACCCAAACAGAAGCTTGTACATTGGCTGTAAAAGAAACAGAGATTAAAAAAGTAATGGTGACACAGACTGAGGTCTTGGCAGTGACCAAGGAAGTGGCCAAGATGGGAGCCACGAACAAGAGTGGAATTGTGACTGAAACCAAGGCAAGGGCCATGGATGGAGCTATGAATGTAGCTAAGACTCAGTCTGAGACCAGGTCTGGTGCCATGGTTGGTACTAAGGGAAACTCTAATTGCATGTCTTGGGTAGTGGCTGGAGTGGACATGAAGTCTTGTGCACAGTCTCAGGCTGTAGACAAGATTCAAGTTGAGGACATGCCTGGCGCCGGGATTGAGGCCAGGGGTAATTACAAAACCACATCTAGGTCAGAATCTGGGGCAGACATGAAGGCTTCTACTGAAACTCAGAATGTTGCTAAAACCCAGGCTAAGGACATACCTGGAGCGAGGGTTGATTCTCAGAGTAGTACAGATGCTATGTGTATGGCAGGTACTGGGGCAGATATGACAGCTTGTATACAGCCTCAGACTGTGGCCAAGAAACAGACTGAAACTACTTCTGGTGCCAGAGTTGGTGGCAAGGGAAACAAGAATGTCATATCTAGGGCAATGACTGGAGTTGACATGAGGGCTACTGTTCAGCCTCAAGATATAGCCAGTACTCAGGCTGAGGTCATACCTGATGTCAGGGTTAAAGTTAGAGGCAAACTCAAGGCCACATCTAAAGCAGGGGCAAGAGCAAACCTGAGGACCAATACTCAGGCTGAGACCCTGTCTGATGCTGAGGTTAAGGCTAGAGGCATTTCCAATGCCATGCCTAAGGCAGGGGCTGGGATAGACATGTCCTGTACACAGCCTCAATCTCTGGCCAATGTCCAGGCTGATACTTTACCTGATGGCAAAATCAAAGCTATGGCCAATACCAATGCTGTGCCTAAGGAAGAAGCTGGGACAGACACGAAGGCACAGTTCCAAGCTATGACTAAGAGCCAGGCTGAGGCTTTATCTAGTGCTAAATGCAAGACTAAGGGCAAAGCCAAGGCCAAGTGCAAGGCAAAGGTTGGGGCAGACACGAAATTTACACAGCCTCAGGCTGGGAGCAAGACTCTGACTGAGGCCACACTTAATTCTAAGGTTGATGGTAGGGGGGATCCGAATGTCATTTCTAGAGTAGATACCAAGGCAGACAGTTCCCAGGCTGAAGCCTTGCCTGGTGGCAAGAAGAAGGCTAGGGGCAATCACAATGCCGCATCTCAGGTGGAGACAGGGGCAGATACAAGGGATTCTGTCCAACCTCAGACTGTGGCCAATTCTCAGGTCGAAGTCTTTCCTGGTGGCAGGAAGAAGGCCAGGAGCAATCACAATGCTGCATCTCAGGCGCAGACTGGGGCAGATACAAGGGACTCCGTCCAGTCTCAGACTGTGGCTAGTTCCCAGGTCGAAGCTTTGCCTGGTGGCAGAAAGAAGTCCAAAAGCAATTCCAATGTTGTATTTCAGGTAGAAGATAAGGCAGATGCAAGAGACGCTGCCCAGTCTCAAACTGTAGCCAATTCCCAGGTCAAAGCCTTGCCTTGTCGCAGGAAGAAGGCTAGGGGCAATCACAAAGCTGCATCTAAGGCAGAGGCTGAAGCAGATACAAAAGACTCTGTCCAGCCTCAGACTGTGGCCAATTTCCAGGCTGAAGCCTTGGCTGGTGCCAGGAATAAGGTCAGGGGCACTCCCAATGCTGTGTCTAAGGCAGAGGCCAGGGCAGATGCAAAGGACTCTGTCCAGCCTCAGACTGTGGCCAATTCACAAGTCAAAGCCTTGACTGGTGCCAGGAATAAGGTTAGGGGAAATCCCAATGCTGTGTCTAAGGTAGATGCCAGAGTAGATACAAAGGACTCTCTCCAACCTCAGACTGTGACCAGTTCCCAGGTTGAAGCCTTGACTGGTGCTAGAAATAAGGTCAGAGGCAATCCCAATGTTGTCTCTAAGGCAGGGACTGGGACGGATATAAGAGGCTCTGCTCAGCCTCATACTGGTGCAAGGAAGAAGGCTATGCCTAAGGTTGAGGCAGAAGTTGATCTTTATGAAAATCCTGAGGCAGAGGACATGCCCACTTCTGAGCGTGAGGGTGGGGCAGACATTGAGACCCACAGAAACACTCCGCCTAAGGTCCACCACTATTACTGGAATGGGATTGGTATTGAGGATTGGATTGCTGCTGAGCGGTGGATCAAATTTAGGTTTCAGGCCCGGGATGGATACTGGGAAAATAGCATGTCTTGGGCTGGGGATGAGAATGAAATAAATATTGAGTCCTGGAGTGGGGCTAGTCACGAGGCTGGTAATAGGTCCTGGGCTGTGACTCATGATGAGACCAGCATCAAGTCCTGGGATGAGACTAGGGATGGAAATGAGGTTGGTATTGGGTCCTGGGCTGGAGCTGGGAACCAGATCAGTGAAGGGTCCTGGGTCACTGAGTCTAGGAACCAGGCCAGTGTTGCACCCTGGGCTGGGGGCCAGGCTTGTGATAGACCCTGGACTGAGAGAAAGGCCAGTGGGAGTTCCTGGGCTGGGGTTGGGGATAAGGCCATTGGAGAGTCCTGGACTGGGACTGAGAACCAGACCACTGGAGGCCAGATCAGTAGGAAGGCCTGGGGTCGAGCTGAGGAACAGGCCAGTGGAAGGTCCTGGGATGGGGCTAGAATTCAGTCTAGTGAAAGGTCTTGGACTGGGGCTGAGGATCAGGCTGATGATGGATTGAAGCCTAGATTTAAGGGCCAGGCCAGTGAAGGAGGATCCTGGGCTGGGGCTGGTAGACAGGTCAGTGGAGAATCCAGGTTGGTGCCAAAGGACCAGTCCAGGGGTGGGTCCTGGGCTGGCACAGGGAATCAGGACTATGGAAGGTCCTGGGTTGGGGCAAGGGGTCAAGCTGGTGACTGTTCCAAACCTGCATTTGAGGATCAGGCCACTGGAGGAGTGTCCTGGGCTGAGTCTAGGCCTAAGAATGAGGTCAGTGGAAGGTTTAGACTGGGACCTGAGGACCAGGCCAGTGGAGGGTCCTGGGCTAGGGCTGAGGACCAGGATGTAGACGACACTTGTGAAGGGTCCAAGTTGGTGCTCAAGGACCAGTCCAATGAATGGTTCTGTGCTTGCACTGAAAATCAGACTAGTAGAGGAAGATCGTGGACTGGTTGTGGTGGCCAGGATGTTGGAGAACTCAGGGCAGGGCCAGAGGACCAGTCCAGAGATGGGTCTTTGGCTGGCACAGGGAGTCAGGTCAGTGGAGGATCTAGGACTGAGGTAGGTGGCCAAGTTGGTGGTGGAAGATGCAGACTGGAGCCACAGCATCAGTCCAGTGGTGGATCCTGGGCTGGCACTAGGAGTCAGATCGGTGAAGAGTCCTGGACTGGGGCTGGGGATCAGGCTAGTGCCTGTTTGAAACCTGGATTTGAGGATCAAACCACTGTAGGAGGATCTTGGGCTGTGTCTAAGCTTGGGAATGAGGCCAGTGGAGGATCTAGACTAGGACCTGAGGGCCAGGCCAGTGTAAGGTCCTTGTCTGAGACTGGAGACCAGTCCACTGGAGGGTTGTGGGCTGGCCCAATGAATAAGGTAAATGGATCCTGGATTGGGACTGGGGATCAAACTGGTGACTTCTGTAAATCTGTATTTGAGGATCAAACCAGTAGAAGTAGGTCCTGGACTAGGTTTAAGTCTGGGGATGTGGCCAGTGGAGGGTCTAGGTTGGGGCCTGAGGACCAGGCCAGTGGAGGGCCTTGGACTAGGGCTGAGGATCATGCCAATGGAGAGGCCCATTTTGGGGCAGAGGTAGAGGCCAACAAAAGATCTTGGTTTGGGGCTGGACATGAGACTAGTATAGGGTCTTGGTTCTGGGAAGGGGAAACAGCTAGTACTATGTCCAACCATGGAGGTAAGGATGAAGCTATTACTAAATCCAGGTCAGGAACTAGGGAAGAGATCATTAGTCCCAGGTTTGGGGCTAAGGACAAGGCCAGTATTGGGTCCTGGTTACAATCTGATGGGGCATCTTGTGGAGGGGCTGAAGGTGGAGCTGAGGCCAGGATGGGATCTTGGTTTTGGGATGGAGATTTGACCCCTAAAGTTTCTAGACTTGGAGCCAAGGGAGAGCCTCACCTTAGGACTTTGGCTGGGGATGTAGATGAGGATGAGCTAAGTATAAGGTCCAGCCCGGATATTGAAGAGATCAGTTTAAGGTCCTTGTTTTGGGCTGAGAATGAGAATAGTGTAGCGCTCAGACCCAAGATTGAGCAAGATGTCAAATTTGAGAGTGGGGCTGTTCATAATTCCAAAATCAAGGATAAGAATGAGACTGCTAGTGTAGTCAATGTAAGGTCTTCTGAGAACAGAAGTCAGGGCAAATCTAGATCTAAGGCTCTAGCCAACATATCAGCTGACTCAAGAGGCACGTATTCATCCATGGTCCCCGGGACAGGAATGGGGTCATGGGCTGGAGCCATGATCTGGACAGAAATGAAGTTTCCATACCGAAATAAGTCCTGCTTCCCACCTGAAGATGAGCTCAGAAAGCAGATCAGGGCTGGGGAAAAGATACGGCCCTGGGCCTGCCGTTGTAAACGTGAAGCCAATATGAATCCTCGAGAGCTTGAAAAACTCATTTGCATGATTGAGATGACTGAGGACCCTTCCATTCATGAAATAGCCAATAATGCTCTTTTTAATAGTTCTGATTACCCCTATTCCCAAGAAGTCGTTCGTAATATGGGTGGAATCTCAATTATTGAAAGCTTGCTGAATAACCCCCACCCCAGTGTTAGGCAGAGGGCTTTAAATGCACTAAATAACATCTCAGTGGCTGCTGAAAATCATAGAAAGGTTAAAACATACATAAACCAAGTTTGTGAAGATACCATCACCTATCCTGTGAATTCAACTGTGCAGCTAGCTGGACTAAGATTGATAAAGCACCTGACTATTACTAGTGAGTATCAGCATATGGTTACAAATTACATTTCAGAATTTCTTCATTTGTTAACTATGGGAAGTGGAGAAACTAAAGACCACATTTTGGAAATGCTTTTGAATTTCTCTAAAAATCCTTCTATGACAAAAGACTTGCTCATTGCCAGTGCACCAGCATCACTGATTAACATCTTTAGCAAGAAGGAGACAAAAGAGAACATTCTTAATGCTCTTACACTATTTGAAAATATAAATTACCATTTTAAAAAAAGAGCAAAAATATTTACCCAGGACAAGTTCAGTAAAAATTCTCTTTACTTCCTATTCCAACGACCTAAAGTTTGTGCCAAGAAACTTCGAGCCTTAGCAGCAGAATATAATGACCCTGAGGTGAAAGAAAAAGTTGAGCTATTAATAAGCAAACTCTGATTGGTTCTATGGTTCTAAATAAATCTGAATAATATTTTGGTTTTGCAGCCTGGAAGTAATACACATTGCAAATTACATTATAACTTCAAAACTGATGTTACCAACAATGATCTATAGCTGGATCATTTCATGAACACCAAATTAATTCAAACTTGTAATGAAAATATGTGCTGGTTTTTATCTTGCCTGGATTAAGATATTTTTAGTATGCTTCATGAGCAGAAAAGGAACTGATTCTACATAAGATAATCTCTGGTCCTTTGTGTGGACTTAAGTTTATATATTTGAGACTTTATTTTTATGTTATCAATAAAGTTGTTGTGTTTTAAGAAGGAAAAAAAAAAAAAAAAGACTCCATCCTTGCCTTTGCGTTTATACTCTATTTGGGAAGGTAAGATACATGGAAACAAAAAAAGGATCATGACCAGGTACTTACATTGGTGCTTAGGGGAGACAGAAGCTGCTGTGGACAGCAGTGCTCAGGAATATTTTTTACAGAGGAAGGGGACACTGGGCTTGAAGGCTGGGGTAAACGAGGGTCAGAAGGGCATTTAAAGAAGGAAGAGTGGTGGAAAGATAAGCATGGAGTTGGGAATCTTGCACCAGAGAAGATGCTGGTCTGCCTGGAATGGAAAATGTGCAGAAGGGAATAATGGGATCTGGAGTTGGAATTGTTATCCCCATTCATGGAGGACCCTGATTCCTAAACTGTGGAGTCTGAATGCAATCCCATCCATCCCTGGGAATCAACAAAGTCTTTTGTGACCAGAAGAGTGACTGTATTGAGGGAAAATGAATGTGGCTGGACTGTGTGAAGGATGAATTGTAGTGGGGTGAGGAGATGGGTGGCAACTGTAGATTGAAAACCAATTAGAAAATCACCAACATAATCTGGGTGTGAGATGATAAAAGTGTGAAGTTTCACTGGTGGTTATCAGGATGGTAAGGGGATGGAAGTGAGAGACCCTTAAAGATTCAGTGTTGAAACCTGTTCTGGGACATACAGAAAAGAACAATTTTATGATCTAGGGGGTATTTATTTGATAGAAAAATACCTTCTTTCTTTGCCAACTGTGATGTCTGTGTAGCTGAATAAATTAACTATTATTTTGAAACCCTAAGAAAATATATTCATATGAAGAATAATTTTCAGTACCTATATCAGATTTCAAGGAGCTCTGGTAGCGTGGTGGTTATGAGTCGGGCTGCTAACCTCAAGGTCGGCAGTTCAAAACTACCAGCTGTTCCGCAGGAGAAAGATGAGGCATCCTGCTCCCGTAAAGATTTACAACCTCGGAAACCCTGTACAGGGTCACTATGAGTCGGAACTGACTCCACAGTACTTAACAACAACAACATATCAGATTTCAGTGCCTATATTGGATTTCTAGGAGTCCTGGTGTGGCTCTGTGGACTAATGCGTCAGACTGCAAAGTCGTTTGAACTACAAGGTCAGTAGTTCAAGTTCACCAGCTGCTCCTTGGAAATCGCTATGGGTCAGAACTGACTCGACGGCACTTCACAACAAAAACAACAACATATCAGATTTCTAAGCTTGATTTGAGGCAGAACTATCGAGAATGATGTTGGAATTCATATAGGAAAATATCTTCCTTTCTCCAACCTCATAGTGTTGTTGAGATGTAGAGAAATGGACACTTTCAAACTGTGCTGGTTGGTGACAGTACACATTGGTACAACATCCATTTGGACATGTGTTTCATAAGCCTTCAAGTTGTACATACTCTTTCATCTGGATATTCCACTTATAGAAATATAGCATTTGGAAATGATCAAATAATTGGTTTGCACAAAGTTGTGCATCTTCACATTTATTAAAAAAGCTTTTATTGTGAGTTGAGTGATAGTTTACATGGGAGAACATCCATTTTGCACTCATTCTATTGTATTTTGTTTAATTGCAATGATTACAATCCCCTCCATGCATCATCATTCAACAGTTTGCTTCTATTCCCTCCGTGTTTTTTGTTTTTGTTTTTGATGTACACAAAAACATTCAGGAATATATAATCATTTAAACAACTAAAGAGCACATTCTGCAAGACTGCCTCCTGGCTGCCAGCACAAAGCCTTTCTCTTTCCATGAGTCTAGAGTCCTCAGCTGTTCTATCTTTCCATGCCATCACCTCTGCCTCCATCTCTGGTGTTACTGCTTCTCTGATTAGGGCCCCATATTCCGCTAACGCTCTTCTCCTTTGATGGTCCTAGGGTCCTCTGTTCCTGGAATGTAAGATTTACTACTCCCCTCTTTATGTTACAAAATTTCTACCTTTACAGTTGTGACAATTGCATTTACTCGTGATAACAATGACTCACTATTGAATCATAAGAATCTTATCCCCATCTCCTTTCACCAGCCCTGAAAACTATTCAGTGGGGGATTCTACCTTCCCCTGAACACTCTGAAACTAAACTCCCTCTTGGAAACTTGTAAGCCAGCCACTTCTTGCCTTTATAGCTCCCCCCCTGCATTTTAGATTGCCAATGTCTAAGTTACCCATCTCTACCAAACCTCTATACAGAGGGGATAGGCTTGATCCTTGATGTGAAGACTCCTTTCCTCAGGGCTGGTATTTTGAGATACTACATCCATAAGTATAGGTCAACTTCATCAAATTGTAGCAATTTACACTTGCTTCTTTTATCGAATTTCTTTATTTTCCTCTAGCCCAGCTCTGGTCATCAAGTCATGGAAGATAGGTCAAATGGGTACTATCTGCAAGTTTGGACATTCTTGTGTGTCTCTCTCCATGTCATATCAGTTAGGTGATTCGCTCTCAGCTCTAACCTTCCGTGGCTAGGTCAATGTCCATGGGCTCAGAAGTTCCCAAGTCTCCCCAAACTTCAGACTAACCAGCTCTTCCTCTTCTCTCTCTCATCTCAAGGTTGACAGGAGTCTATGTATATGGTTGAACTCAGCCCATATCTTCATTATTGACTTTCCCCCACTTCTACTCACATTAGACCAACACAATCGCCAGCTAGCTTACAAGCCTGCTTGTGTGTTCCCTTTGACATCTTCACATTTTTTAAGGGTGAAAAATTGTAAATGACCCCAAAGTCTTAAAATAGGCAGTTAAGTGAAATATTATGCAGTCATTGAAAATTTCAATGCCACCTACAGTTATTTGCATGAAGAATCTACATATAATAGGTGGGAAAAACACATACCATATATATATATATAATCATGGCATATATTTAAATTATATGTACGTATAAACTTTGGTGTAGAGTCTAATAGTTTCCTCTGAGTGCTCGACTGATGGGTTTTATCTTTCTATTTTTAACTCACTGTAGTTCCTGATTTTTATGTAACAAATAGGCATTGTTTGTATAATTTACCAAAAAGAAGAAAGTTAGATTCAAATTAGGCAGGTCTGTCAACAACATTTGAGAAACCTGTAGCAAAGGGCATTAAGGGAAGCTCATATACACACATATATGTGTAAATATATGGGAAGTATAAAATAAAAATTTAAACAAATATTTAAAAATAAATCTCTAAGATTAAATCATAGAAAATAAAAATTTTATTTACTAATATAAAAATAAAATCAATCTAAATTTTAGCACTCAGTGGCTACCAACTTTCTAATGTAAAAATAAAATGGTATCATAATAGTGGTGGATTCTTTGGTGTTGCCCTAATCTTCCTTCAGAAATAATGTTTTATTTCAGTTGTTGAGTTCCACTAGCAGATATCCCTCAGCTGTCATCTTTCTTCAGGAATTGCCTCAGATGAAGAAAGCCACTTTTGTCAAGGTCATAGCCCTTTCCTGAGCCACTTCATGGTCTACCACTGATCAGGAATATATGGAACAGACCATCAATTACTCATATGCAAATTCAAATTGAAGCTGAAGAAAATGAAAACAAGTCAATGAGCCAAAATATGACCTTGAATATATCTCACCTGAATTTAGGGATCATCTGAAGAACAGATTTGATACATTAAACACTAAAGACCGAAGACCAGAAGAGTTGTGGGATGACATCAAGAACATCATACGTGAAGAAAGCAAAAAGTCATTGAGAAGACAAGAAAGAAGGAAAAGGTCAAAATGGATGTCAGAAGAGACACTGAAACTTGCTCTCCAGCATAGAGATGCTAAAGCAAATGGAAGAAATGAGGAGGTCCAAGAACTGAACAGAAAATTTCAAAGATCAGCTCAAGAAGATAAAGCCAAATATTACAATCGAATGTGCAAAGATCTGGAATCAGAAAACCAAAAAGGAAGAACACGCTCAGCATTTCTCAAGATGGGGGAACTGAAGAAAAAAAAATCAAGCCTCGACTTTCATTACTGAAAGATTCTCTGGGCAAATTATTGAATGATGCAGAAAGCATCAAGAGAAGATGGAAGGAGTACACAGAGTCACTGTACCAAAAGGAAATGGTTAAGGTTCAACCATTTCAAGAGGTAGCACATGATCAAGAGCCAATGATACTGAAGGAGATAGTCCGAGGTGCATTGAAGGAATTGGCAAAGAACAAGGCACCAGGAATTGATGGAATAAAAATGGAAATCTTTCAAGAAAGTGAGGCAGCACAAGAGGCACTCACTCATCTCTGCCAAGAAATTTGGAAGACAACTATCTGGCTGACTGAGTGGAACAGATCCATCTTTATGCCCATCCCAAATAGAGGTGACCCAATGGAATGCGGAAATCATCGAGCAATCTCTTTGATATCTCGTGTGAGTAAAGTTTTACTAAAGGTAATGCAGAGTAAAGTTTTACTAAAGGTAAGGTTACAATCATACATTGACAGAGAACTTCCAGAGGTTCAAGCCAGATTCAGAAGAGACCATGGAACGACAGATATCATTGCTGATGTCTGATGGATATTGGCTGAAACCAGAGATTATCAGAAAGATGTTTACCTGTGCTTTATTGACTATGCAAAAGCTTTCGATTGTGTGGATCATGACAAGCTGTGAACAACATTGTGAAGTATGAGTATTCCAGAACGCTTA